GCCCCCTGTTGTGAGGACACCGAGGGTTACCTGCTTCCTCTCTTACCTCACTCTCCGTAGATCACACAAATGTGAGAGGAGGAGACCTTAGAGACTGGTTAAGGCCCATCCAGTCCCTCCTCACCTCCCCATTTGACAGACGAGAAATTGGAGCCCAGAAAGTAAAAAGACTCGCCCAAAGAAACACAAAGTTAATGGCAGAACTAATTCTGGGACCCAGGTCTCTCGACCCTTCTCTATTATACCCTTTTCTCCCGTCTTTTCTTCCATTTGTAGGGCATTGAAGCCTTGGGTTTGATAATAAACACTAGTTCATTTAGAAAATGCCATACTTTTGGCCATCTTTCACCCTCTCAGTTTATAATGTAACAGCTTCATTGAGATACAATTTACAATTCACACGCCATAAAATCCAGCTCTTTAAATTATGCAATTCAGTGGTGTTGTGCCATTATCACTACAAATCATTTAAAAAAAATCCTCACCTGAGGATATACTTTTTATTGATGAGAGAGGAGAGAGAGAGAGAGAGAGAGAGAGAGAGAGAGAGAGAGAGAGAGAGAGAAGAGAAACATCAATGGGAGAGAGAAACATGGATCAGTTGCTTCCTGTGCGTGCCCCAACTGGGGATTGAACCTGCACCCTGGGTAGGTGTCCTGACTGGAATCAAACCCACATGATGTGGGTTTGGTGTACATGAGGATGCTCCAACCAACCGAGCCACACCGGGTGGTCATAATTCATTTTAGAATATTTTCATCACCCCACAAAGAAACTCTAGGCCTATTAGCAGTTACTTTCTATTTCCTCCAACTCCTCCATCACCATCAATCTACTTTTGGTCTCTGGATTTACCTATTCTGGACATTTCATATAAACGGAATCATACATTATGTGGCCTTTTGCATCTGCTTCTTTCACTTAGCATATTGTTCCCAAAGTTCATCCATGTTATAGCATAGATCATGCTTCATCCTTTTGATGTCCAAATAAGATTCCATAGTATAGATATACTATATTTTGTTTATGCATTCATCAATTGGTGTTCATTTGGGTTGGTACCACTTTTGGGGTATTATGAAGAATGCTGCTATGAATTAATTTTTTGTATTAATTTTTATTTAATTAAAATTATATATATATTTTATATTCAATATTATTTTGTATTAGCTTCTGGGT